TTTCCCTCTTTTCCCTCCTGGGGCGGAGGGAAGACCGGTCGCGCTTCGCGCTCCGCCGCTCATTGTAAGATTTGGTCACTTTTCATGCTTTGGCTTTTCTTTCTCTCGCGGCAGCGAGTCTTTTCTCGTGATTCCTTCTCAGGGGCACGCAGGAGGGTCGTCGGTACATTAATGCTCGTGCCCGGAGCTCGGTAGGCCTCCGTGGCGCGTGTGGTTGACGGTCAAAGTTGTGAAAACTGGCTGTATACCCCGGGGGCGCGTTCCGCGAAGACAACGCCTGGCGAACCAATTTTGAAACCCATCAAGAACGACAGATGGTTTGAAGTACTTGCCTCTTGGCTTGCTGTCATCTCCCAATTCATTCATTCATTCATTCGCTGTTCCCACATCGCTATGACTCTTCGTGTCATCGCAATGTCCAACAGCAGTACCTGCGTTTTGCTCTTTGACACTTTGCAGCGGGGCAAGCGAAACTCTGCTGCTATTTAGAGACAAGCCTTAGCTCATGCATCCACTGTGTTAAACATGTTTTGCGTGTGGTGCTGTTTCGGATTCAAATTCGGTTCTCATTGGAAATATGATTTTTCGCTTGCAAGTTGTTGTCCGGTCGAGCTGGCTCCAATAGAGAATAACTACGTGCGCGATGTTTTGTACGGAACACGAGCGTTATAAAACTGCCCATCAAAAATAAGACACACAGCCCCTCGGGAAATGCTCATGTGGACTTGCGTCACCCGCGGGAGGCTTGACACCTTGTATGTATATGTACCATTTCGCCGGTTTTGGTGTTTCGGGATATCTTTCTCTTGGCAGAAACGAGTTTTCTTACGCTCCCTTCTCAGGGGCACGTAGGGGGATCGTTTGTACATTTTCGCGCACGCCCCAGGACCACCAGTCACCCGCGGCAATTGTACGCCCAAAGTTGAAAAAACTGGCTCTTATACCCGGGGATGTGTGCCGCGCGAAGAAACCCTTCGCAAGAAATATATAACAAACTGCTTTGCAGAAAACAGGAAGACTTTTGTTTTGATTCCTGTGCAACGCACAGAAGTCCCACAGACCATGGGCAACACGAATACTTCAGAGCGAGTGATCATACGCAGCGGATTGCAGCAGTAGGACCTGCAGCAAAGACGCCACTAGCCTAAGAGCACACACACGCACACGCGAGAACAAGAAATGCCCCACGCGTGATGCAAAATTCCACGCAAATTCTGCAGGTTGTACGCAAAACCGGCACTCACTACCGAACGTCATGACGATGAGTTGCAACGATGCGACCGCGATGACATTGACCATGTCTTCTTGCGTCGCCCCCGGGAGGCAAGCCTTCTACATTTATATTGATAATCAGTGTATCCATATCGGTCGCCGAGACCTGCAGAACGATAACCAAACAAATGGTAGTTCACCCGTATATCTGAAAGCCACTTTGCAGAGCCAATTATCCACTCGTTGCTATGCATACACACCACAGCAGCAGTATTCGTGACACACACAGCAGTAGAAATGAAAGTTTGTTGTCGAAGACCGAACAAACTGTAGTTTTTTGTGCACGAAAGAAGTCGGAACATCTCCCAGATCTACGGTTGTATTTGGGTTCTTGTTGTGCCGCCCCGGAGGCGTGTTGGTTGGGTTGTCTTGGTTTGGTTTCCTGGGGTCTTACAAAAAGGTCTCACGGAGTTCTCATTCTGCTGCCTCACTGCTTCTGCATGAAGAGTTTGATAGACGCGTGTCTACTGGACCAAGGGCCACGTGTTGAGGAATGCACAGTGTGTAACACGCAGCCCGCGTCGGAGGGTCACGCGGGAAGGAGGGCAGCAGCTAGCTACATCGAAGTTTGGACCCGTAGCCATTTCGTAGCTTTTCGGGGGTTGATGATGATGGAACACGCTCGGCTGGAGCGACCAGCCGTGGAACTACGAGGGGACTACTACCTACTCTGGGGGCTTGACAACCCGCGTGGTATGTGTCTTCGTGTCAAATCTCATCAAGGGCTGGCTTATCACATCTCATCCACCGCCATCGTTATCAATAGACAGCCGTGCCGTAACAGTGTCACCTTGCGCGCGGTGCAACTCCGTCGTGTGTCATGCTGGAGGTATGCATAGGACGCCGCCACATGAGATCACGCAGTTCGCCCAGTCTGCTCGACAGCAGTCTGCTGTGCGCTCCCATTTGTACCTCTCGTCTGCCTCCGCCAACAGCAGCAGTATTCGTGACACACACAGCAGTAGAATGCATGTATCACATCAAACAAACAACAACTACCGACCGGTGTACCCCACCCTTTATACTTTCTTGACCGAACACTTTTCCGGACAAAAAGTAAAATGCCACTTACTCTGTATGCTACCGTACAATACAAATTGTATCTGAAAGCCACTTTTCGTTGCAGAGCCAAATATCCACGAAGTTTCCGGCAAAACAATATTCATGCGTAAATTCGACCTGCATAGTTGCATACGGCAACAACCAAGTGGACAGCTGACAGCGCTTGAGACGGCAATATCAATCCATCCTGTCCTATCACGTCTCGACCCTACACACAGAGTTGTCCAGCAGTGTGCGTGACACATACAGGCTAGAAGTATACATGCATCACATCAAACAAACAATGCCGACCGGTGTACCTCCGCCTTTTCTTTATACTTTCTTGACCGAAATGTTTTCCTCACAGAAAAGTAAAGAGTCACGTACGAAGCACGACATATGCATACTCCATCTGGACGCTAGAGCCGTACCCCCGACACGTGCAGAACACCCCCCCCCCCCCGAGTCATTGAAAAACGTAATTTTCAAAAAGAAATAAAAAGATTCATGGTGCGAAACTTGCACCATGGGCGGACAGGGGCAGGACGAAGAGTGTATAGTACACACAATACGCGATGCTGCATGTCAATGTCACCATTACCTATACAGTGTTGCCAAGGCAGATAGGAAACGTTGAGACCCACCAGCAGCGGCGGAGCGAATGTCGACGGGTGCTTGCGTGACGGAAGTTTGTCCCTATACCCCCCGACGAACCACAGATAGGTAGTCCGCATTTCCCCTCTCAGCCAATGAAAGGGGCGAATCGTTTTTGGTTCGGGT